AATAAAAAGATTTTTGAGAGGCTTAAGTAATCTGAATCCCACTGTAAAACTCCTAATGCCTACATGGAGTCTCTCGGTGGTTTTACAAGCATTAACTCGATCACCGTTCGAGCCCATGGCGACAATTGATTTACGCCTCGTTTCTTGGAAGACAGCCTTCCTCGTGGCAGTGACTTCAGAACGTAGATCCTTTGAACTATGCGCTCTTCGAGCAGATCCCCCTTTTCTAAATTTTCATAAGGAAAGGTGGTTCTTCGTATGGATCCGTTTTTCCTTCCGAAAGTTGCTACCTCTTTCCATATGCAACAGGAAATTGTGTTACCGGCGTTTTTCTCCGGTCCCTTCGAATCCGATAGAAAGATCTCTACATATGCTGGACCTCAGTCGCTGCTTAGCCTTTTATAGATCCGCGAATGAATCCTTTCAACATTCAAATAGACTCTTTGTGAAATATTCAGAGCACGACAGAGGTTGTCCAGTTACCTCTCAGCTCCTGTTGAAATGGTTAGTTAATACAATTGTCCTAGCTTATCAGCTAGCCAAGTTGGACTTACCATCTACTCCAAAAGGTCACTCCGCAAGAGCTGTCGCTGCCTCTTCAGCCTTTGCATCAGGAGTCCCGATGGAGATTGTGTGCAAGGCGGCCATTTGGGCTACCCCGTGTACCTTTGCCAAACACTATAGGCTAGATGTCCGTGCCAGACAGGATTGCTCTTTTGACAGAGCTGTATTTTCGTCTGTCCTTCAATGATGACACCTCCCTCCTCCAGTGGCGGTAAGCTTGTTATTCTACCCATATGTGTGATGCACAGAGGCCACGATGAAGAAAAGCAGGTTGCTTACCTGTAACTGATGTTCTTTGAGTGGCCATCTGTGCAGTCACACAACCCACCCTCCGACCCCTCTTGATGTCATGAGTGGTTCGATTATTTTTACTTAGATATTATAATCTCTCCTATGTGTCGTACCGCTACTTCTTTAAACTTCTTGTACTAATGTGCAATGTCATAGCGAGCCAAACGTCGGTCTTTCAAAGACTGGAAAATGGCGGTCACTCTGCTCCTTATATACTGCTAGGGGGGAGGGGGAGCAGAGTCCCCGCCGAAAAGGAAACCGTTAGCTATCAATCTTCCGGCCAAAGGCACTGCGCAGGCGCAGAACCCATATGTGTGACTGCACAGATGGCCACTCGAAGAACATCAGTTACAGGTAAGCAACCTGCTTTTCTGGCACCACACCCTAAGCCAGTCGTTCACCTCGGAGGCCCTCCTGTCCCTTCCTGGCCCAAATCCCTGGACCGGTAAGATCGACGAGAAGGCCACTTGGGCCTTTATTTCCCTGATTTCTTCCCCAAGGCCTCGAAGTCCCTGGCGATCCCGACTACACCCTGCCTGGCCACGTCATTTGTGCCCACATGGATCACCAGGAGCAGCTGGTGACCCCCAGAGCAAACAAGACGCTCCACTCTGTCCTTCACATGCCAAATGCGTGCGCCCGGCAGGCAGCAAACCTCCCTTGTCTCCAGGTTGGGGCAGCACACTGCCACCTCAGTGCCCCTCAGCAGGGAGTCCCCAACAACAATCACCCGCTGCCGTGTCTTCCTGGTGGTGGTGGGCGGCCGTGCCCTGGCCCTCGCCTCTCCTGCAGCGGCCTCCTTGCCGCTTGTGGTCCCAGGCTGGGGGTCCTGCTGGTCCCCCAAGGCCTCATCAGCCCCAGCCTCCCCAAGCGGAGAGAACCTGTTTCCCAGCTCCAGATTGGTGCCAAGAGGAGGAGGCCGTGGTGGCCTCCTCCTCCTGTGGGTGACATGCCTCCATGTCTCCTCAGCTGCTCATCCTGTGACGTCTCCCTCAACCCTCTGTCCAGAGGGGGGCTGTTCCCAGAGGGCCTGGAGAGCTCTCTTGGCCCTCAGGCACCTCAACTCCTCCTCTAGCAGGGTCACCAGCTTGCACCGAGGGCAAGTGAAACCCTGCCTCTCCTGAGGGAGAAGTTGCAGGGTTGCAGCTGTCGCAGCGGACAGCAACACCCGTGACTCCTGCCAAGGCCATCTCCTGGCTTGCCATTGGGAACCCCTCAGAGGCCCTGCTTGGTCCCCCGCCTTGTCTGTCCTGCAGCACCCCTCACTCACCCAGTTCTCCCAGACAAAAACCCACACACACATGCAAGGATAAAATAAAATTTAAATTGGAGGAAAAACAAAGAAAAGCAAAGGACAGAACAGCACAAAACAAAAACAAACAAAGAAAAACAAAGCAATTAAAAAACAAACAATAAAACAGAACAAAACAAAATCCCTCAGCCTCCCAGGGAAGGGAGTCCCTGGGCAGCCCAGGCCGCAGCTGAGGGACGCAGACCAGGGACGACGACAAGAGGCTGGAGCCAAAAGAGCTTGCAGTGGCTGAGCGCGGCCTTATCAGTCCCTCAGGCCGGTGGCCCCGCCTCTCTGCTTCCTCCTGGTCCCTCTAGCCTCTCTGGCTGTGCCTCCCTTCCTCTCTGCTGCTCCTGGCCCTCTGCTCCTGTGCCCAGCTCCTCCCTTGCCTTCGCCAGTTCCCTGGCCACTCAGCACTCTCTCCCAGCCTGTGCCTCTGCTGCTCTGCCAAGAGGCAAGAGCATTAACTCCTCAACTAAGCCATTCTCTTGGACTATCCAGTCATCATCTTTCAACTTCAGTGAGAGCACAGGGACTGGTCTAGAGAATCTCAACTGCAATAGTTATAACAGAAATTCAATATCTGTTTTATCTTCCGAGGAAGAGCTAAGAAGTTCTGTGATCTTTAATTAGCGTTGGGTCTTGGCTACAGCAGTTACATCTTTAACCACTAAACTCAGTTACTTATATTTTTTCTGGTATAAACAATTTATCAGGATTGTGTCCTTGGTTAGATAAGAAATATCTCTTAAACTTTAAATCAAAGTAAGATGGAGTAAGGCTTTCTCACCAGCTGCTCTCAGGCATACGCCTTCTCATTAGTTAAGCTATCACTGGTTCGTTCAGGAGAGATGTAACCTTCTATGTAATCATGAAAGCATCAACAAGAAAAGCTGAATTTCAGGACCCATTTCCTAGTGTATCTGAATTTGAAGAAGACAATATCAAGAACCTTAGGTTTTCTATAAATTATCTATTGATATTAAACTTAACTTGTGACTATTTGCCTTGGCAAATTCCATTGTATAAGTTCCAAGTAACTTGTTGCCCCCAACTTCTTCAGTGGTAATTTCCCTTAAGTATATTTGCCAGCCAACAAGGTAAAATTTAGTAATGTCCAGTATATTTTTTTAAAAATTCTATCTTTAGCATTTTTCATGTTGCTGCAGTAAATGCTAAGCAATACAGATTGTGAGGAATATATTTACAAAAAAAGTGAGGGGAGCACTCACAGGAAGTATTTTTCCCTCTGTTGTGGCCATATTCAACCATGTAAAGATCACTTCCACCATTCTGTCCTCAAACGAGGAGACAGAGAAATCTGCAAAGAATCAATTAATAACATTGTTCAAATATTTTGATAAATTGCTTCATGGGGAAATGTTTTTATGAAAATCCTCTAACAGTAGCATAAAAGTGAATGAATGAACTGTTTCATTAACTTTTCATTTGGGGAAAATACGAAGCAAATTACTAAAAAATATGGATTGCAGAAATTGACAATGCAGAGAGCAAGATTTGTCTCCAACTTGGTAATGTCACAAATTGCTGTCCCTTGTCTTCTATTGAAGTTAATGTAACTTAACATGGGAGTGTAATTAAATGAATTGTTTAAATTAAATAAACAATCCTACTGCATTTGTTCATGAAAGAAAAGTTGTGATCACAGAAGGAATTCTCCCATAAACTGTCCTTCCATAAATAGAAGCTTCTCTACTGCTGGAGCAAAACATTGAATACTACTCTATAGTCAGTGCTTTTTTTGTAAAAAAAAAAAAAAAAAAAGGTGCCGGAATTCAGTCACTCTACACACACATAAACATAATGGTCGCCGCCGGCAGTAAGCACTCAGCGCATGACCTCACACACCAATCCCAAGCCGAGCAGCATCCCAAGGCAAGCAGCGCCCTAACATCAGCGCGGGCACACAAGCAGCCTGCAGGTGATTCAAAATCACACCATTGGAAAAATCCATCAAAAAATGGTGCCGGAACGCTGTTCCAGTGTGTTCTATGACAAAAAAAGCCCTGCCTATAGTAATGTAACTTATCATATTGGTTGTCAAAATATACAGTTTGTTGGTTAGAAATTGGATTGTTCCATCCTTCTGCATCTGAATAGGATCAATGGTACATCATGGTGGAGTAGGAGGCTGCATTGCAGTAGAAGTCTATTGTAAATAAGGCTGCAATCTGTACCCACAACTGAAAGGAAGCCTGATTTAACTCAGTGGAACTTATTTCTGAGTAGACATGGTTATAATGCACTGTAAGAGGTTTAGACTTGACTTGTGTTGTGATGCATGTAATATTTTACTGGCTTATGTGTGGCTTACTTTCTTATAAATAGTTGGTATTAAATTATTTCAGTTGCATTTCACTGAAATTTAATTTGTTTTTAATTATTGTTTTTTCTAATGTGTTTTTTTGAACTTTGTAAGCTGTCTTGAAGGCTGTATTTGTTGGAAAGGTGGGGTTAACATGTTTAAAATAAAGAATGATAACACATTTTGTGAATACTTTTGTCGCCTGTAGCTTTTACCAGATCCGTGTATCTATGAAAATTCCTCCAAGAATTCCTCATAAAATTGAAGCAAGTTTATTACGTGCAACCAGTAAGTGTAAACTCTTTTTCACTATTATTTCCATTTAATTGTCATTTAATACTTATAGTGGAGTGTTCAGTTTATTAAATATTTACTGCTTAATTAAGTATCTACATTTTAATGGGTTGACTGATCAGTCTCAATATAAGGAAGGAATTCTTGGTATAAACAGACCCTATTGATATTGAAAAAATGTGAAAAATTAAAATGTAACAAATGACAGCTAATAATTTAGATCATGTGAATATTTCTGACAGTGAATGTAAGCTGTGAGGCCCATATATGCACATATTTTCCATAGCTGCCTATTGAAAATTTGCATAAATCATTAACTGGTTCTTGATAAATCATAACTATAGACATATATTGGTTCAGAGCATTAGAACTCAAATCAGAAATATTAATACTGTGAGTGTATAAGGAGTTACTGAAAATGTAGTGGGTCTTTTTGGAAAAAGCAGAAAACAGCTAAATAGTACAAACATCTTTATCCTATACTCTTGTTCTGATGCATTTTTTAAAATTAACTCTACAATTTATTGGTTACAATTACCACCAATTTTACGTTTTCCCTGAAAATTTATACTGGGTGATAATTTGATATGCAGATGTTATCATTATGTGCAAAATGAGCCAAGGATATTATTCCTTATTTGTTCATCAACAGTTAAGTCTTACAAAAGTGTTTGTTACAAATCTTCATTTATTAAATACAATCATAAAACATAAAGAATTCAGTTGCCACTTTGTAGTTAAAGTTTGACTCTTGACATTTTGGACATTACCTCTTATCCATATTATTATCTTAAGGTGCTGATCTTGCCTTCCCAGCATCAGTGCATGATAATGTAATCTGCAGCAAGACTTTTCAAATTCTCTACAAAAATGAGGAGGTTTCTGTGAATGATGCCATGATCTTCAAAATTAAAATGCTGTTGGATGAAAGGAAGGTAATATTCCACTTGCATATACTTAATTGTTAAAATACCTGAAAGGCCCACCAGGTAATCCTACAACTCTGGTAAACAAGTGACCACTATGGCATGGATAGTACAGATATAATGTAGATACAATGCTCAGCTCCACCTACAACCTAGTCAACAATAGGGACAAAAATTTAATGTAGCAACACTGACAGTTGCTCCCGCAATGTCTCTGGAAACTAGAAACCAATACCACCTCCCAATTACCTGTGGAATGAAGGCAGCCAGTCACCATGCAGGAACAACAGGAATGACACAGTGATATCATCCAGCACACTCTTCTCAAACACAAGGCGGAAACATTTTCCTGGGAGTAGACAATAGCTACTGAGTCACCAAAAACCTGCCATGGTACTTACCAGCTATAAGAAGGCAAGCATGTAGAATAAGGAGAAGGAGTCTCTTCCCACTGGAATGTCAGTGTCACTGTCAATGATTTCATTTCTATTAATATTGCAGTGGTAATGAATATATCACCAAGTGTATGAGCTGTGATTGGTTGTGTGATTAGTATGAGGGAGAAAGTCACCCCAGTTATATAGGGCTCTTTGGTGATTTCAGTGGAAGCATAGTAACTTAAATTATCTCTTTAGCAGGTATAAAAGACATCATTGCTGGAAATGGGACTTGGCCCTAAGTGAGCACAGGATTCTGTCTAGCTTCTGATTCTCTTCCTTTGTGTTTCTCTATTCACCCAGTCTCCCCCTTTTCGCTGGTGATCCACTTTGGGTATTTGCTGATAGTATTTAATGTGGAACCATGATTCCTTAAGCCAGTGCATCTTTGACTTCTGCCAGAGGAGACCCAGGAATGATAATCAGATATGGGAGCATAACCTAAAAACAGAATATATAACCCTGAATATGTCCATAGGTCCATTTTGTGCTGTTGCTATCACAGATAAAATCCAGAACTCCTTTTGGTTACTCCTTTTAGTTTCCATGACATATAAGAGTATTGCTATTTATAGTTCTATCTGCTGTTTCATTGTAGCATATTTTACTGTTTCAGTTGACTCTGAATATTTCTGGGACATAAGAGAAATTAAGGGCAGCGTATACATATTTTCAGTTCATAAATAAGAAAAGGATAGAATTGCATATAAAACTGTAATTTGTATTTGTCTTTCTCATCTCCCCCCAACTTCCTTCCTAGATTGAAGAATCCCTTAATGAAATGAATTTCCTGCTCTCCTTAGATCTCCATTTCACAGATACAGATTATTCGTAAGTGCAACAACCTGCATCCAATAACAAAGCATAATTCTGCTATGCTGCTATACTTTAAGCCGAATGTCTTTTTTTGCAATTTCTGTGTGCACCAATGTATTCAAGGAATTCTTGTGTTTGTTTCAGTGGTGGTGGTGGTGGTTGAACATTCCACACACTGAGCCTCATTCTCCTGTAGAGCTGTTTCTAATATTAAAGTAGTACAGTGTATATTTTAAGATTCATTTAAACCCATTTCTGTATGCAAAACAACTCCTGATTGAACTGTATGGTATGACTTATGTAGTGCATTGTAAAAGTTATTTAAATTTAATGTGTATATAAAAAACCTAATTTCAGATATTCTAGAGATAAATACAAGAATTTGAAGTTGTTATGTATGTGTTGCTTTTTTATAGATTTTTGGATCACATGTATATACACCTAACTCAGATTCTTCATAAGACTGTATATGTAAACTATATTGATTTCACTGGGTATTACACATAAGTATATGCATATATACGTGTGGTTCACAATGACTTCACTGGATGGATCTCTAGAGATCATTGTAAGTTCTTCATGTCAAACAAATGGTTAAATCTGAAATTAAATAACTACATAGTACAGAAAGTTTCATACACTGATTTGCATTCTTAAAATGTAATGTTAAATTACTTTCAACATGGTAAATTTGACTATGTTCTTTTTTTTTCTTATTTTTTTAGGCCAGAGGACCTGAGCACATTGCAGCTAATTAGCAGCCGAACACTAAAGTTGCACTTTACCTTACACCGAGGCCTTCATCACTATGTCAATGTTATGTTTGATTATTTTCACCTCTCTGTCATCTCTGTTATAGTCCATGCATCTTTAGTTGCCCTTCACCAGCCATTGATAAGGTAATTAAGATTTTGCTGTTTTACCAAAAGTAATAGTTTTTTAAAAATCTAATTAAGTGCTTGTTGTTTTCTTAATTGAAGTAAGAGTTACTTAGTTGAAATGGTATTTGTTTGGCTCATATATTGTAGGTACGCTGTAGGTTCACTCTGCAAAATACTACAATTGTAAGTTTCCATTCTAGTTCACTGAAATTTATCGGAAGTAAAACTTCATTGAATCTTGGGTGAACCTCCAGTTTGGTTTTGTTATTTTGGCATAAAAAATGGTAAAACACAGACATTGCTGATGAAGTGATACAGTTCATATTTATTTCAAAAGGAATCAGATTGTCTGGTTCAAGAATGTATTTGTAGTATAGGAATTGATGCAATCTGATTTCACCATGTTCTCTGAAGTATTTGTAGAAAGTATATTTATTGTAGAGTTAGTGCACTTCCACGAGAGGTTGTTGAGGCCTCATCGGTGAGGGTATTCAAAGATAGGCTGGACGTGCACATGGTAGGCATATTGTGAGTGGAGCTGGCTGGTGCCAGAGGTCAGACTAGATGGCCTGGGAGACCCCTTCTGACTCGCTCTGTTTCTATGTTTCTAGTATAATCTTTGTGGAGATGTTTTTCCAGATGTCTCTAAAGTGCAGAGCATATTGCTATAACCATTTTCCTGTGATAGGTACAGGAAAAAAAATCTTTCCTGACAGCCACCTGTTTCTTCTTATGCAAGATGACTGTGAGCTGAATTCATTGTTCCATGTTTAAGAAAAGGAGGCTCCCAAAAAGCTAGATCTAGTGCCTAGAAGCTGAGAAAGTTGGAAGTTCAAATAGACTAGTTTTGCCTTGTCTGAAATGGTCATGGGAAGAGCCTACTGTCCCTTAGAGGCTACTGTTTATTTATATTATTGATAACATTAACTATTTTAATGCAAAGAAAGCATCTTGGAAAGGAGCAGGATGATGTAATTGTAGATGTTCTATGGAATTGTTTGCTTTTTGCTTCCTTTTAATGTTTCTGCAGACAACTAGAGAAATTACTTTAAATTCTCTTGGTGACTTGTGCAATGTATTTTTTGTTGTTGTTGTTAGTCACGAAGTTGTGTCTGACCCATTGTGACCCCATGGACAACATTCCTCCAGGCCTTCCTGTCCTTCACCATCCCCTGGAGTCCACCTAAGCTCACACCAACTGCTTCAGTGACTCCATCTAGCCACCTCATTCTCTGCCGTCCCCTTCTTCTGTTGCCATCTATTGTTCCCAGCATTAGGATCTTCTCCAGGGAGTCCTTCCTTCTCATTAGGTGGCCAAAGTATTTGAGTTTCATCTTCAGTATCTGGCCTTCTAAAGAGCAGTCAGGGTTGATCTTCTCTAGAACTGACCGGTTTGATCGCCTTGCTGTCCAAGGGACTCGCAGGAGTCTCCGCCAGCACCACAATTCAAAGGCCTCAATTCTTCGGCACTCAGCCTTCCTTATGGTCTAGCTTTCAGAGACATACATTACAACTGGGAAAACCATAGCCTTGACTACATGCACTTTTGTTGGCAGGGTGATGTCTCTGCTTTTTAGTATGCTGTCTAGATTTGCCATAGCTTTCCTCCCCAGGAGGAAGTATCTTTTAATTCCTTGGCTGCAGTCCCCCTCTGCGGTGATCTTATATGTTGGTGAAATACTTTGGGTTCTGGCCTTCCATGCCCCATCCTATCCAGCTAAGTAGGGTCCTTTAATGCTCTCTGTGCCATTTTTGAAGGCTAGGGACTGCCTGGGGGGCTGAGGAAGTCTGCTTCTGCCAATCCCATTATGCATTTAACTCTGAATCCAAATCTTCTCAGTGTATGTAAGGATTTCACATGCTCACTGTTCCCAAAAGGAAAGTTGCTATTTTCCTGCCACATCATCCATGCGAGTGCTGTAGACTGTGGATCAGGCTTAATAAAGCAAGAGTGAATGTACTCCTTCAAGTTTTTCTTCTTTGTAATATCTCTTCTGTTTGGGCAGAAAAAATATGCTTATGGCCACCTGCATAATTTTCTGGCCTTTATGTTTTGAGTGAGTGAAATAATGCATCACATACTTTCTGATCCATACTCATTATAGTTGGAACAAGGTCAGAGGACTAAAGCAGATACAGTTTCATTGCCCTGTGATATTTCAGTATATTGTCTCCATAAAACTTTAGAACAGGTTTGGAATCCATAATGCACATTGTAGGTATTTATTATCATCGAACAGGAAACTCGAAAGAGCAAAATAGGGAAAGCATCATTCCATTATTGTTAACCATACTAATACTTAGATATTTTAAGTATTTAAAATTTAATCATAGAGTTTAATCATATAATCCATTGGTTCTTGACAAGATTCATATACCATAGTGCTTTTGAAAGTGAGTCTAGGCCCAAAATGAAGGGACATTTGCTGTCCAAGTGTGATTCTTTGCTTTAAAGCCACTGTTTTTCAACTGCCAGTCCTTGAACTGGTGCAGGTCTGCAGGAGATTTCCTGCCAGTTCATGAAAAAGCCTTGAGGAGGAACTGTAGAGAGGTGACAAATAAGAGCAGCAACTCAAGCCCAGCCTGCTCTTCCTGCTCACTATGCGCTGCTGCCGTCCCCAGGAGAACTGATCTGCACCAGCTCTTCCCCCCCTCCTGCTACGATCAGCTCAGTTCCCCTGGGGATGACAGCAGCCCTGAGCAGTGCAGCCACCTTCCAGGCATTCCTGCTGATCTTAGCCCCTTGCCAGGTGGCGCAAGACCAGAACCAGGCAGCCTGGGGCCACTTGCAAGGGGCGGCATAGAAATGTTATAATAATAATAATAATAATAATAATAATAATAATAATAATAATAATGATGATGCTGAGGGGGTGCAAGCGGCGGCAGCATTCTCAGAGCTGCATGTAAGGGCAGCAACTCACACTCAGCTCGCTCAGCACAGCTGCTATCACCAGAGGGACCAAGCTGATCCTAGCAGAAGGTGGGAAAGAGCTTTGATGTCATTCTGGTGTCCAAACATAAAATGCAATCATTGTCACGTTTTTGGATATCACTGGAAAAAGAATATCTGTCTCTTAAGTTATAGAGCTTTTAAATTCTTACTCATATTTTCCACAACATATGTGTATGAAAAGAGTTTTTCAGCCCTGTCACTGATTAAAAACTAAACAGAGAAACAGAATGGATGTTGGTGCAGTGCTTCATCTCTTGGAAACAACACTGCAGCCATGACTATCAAGTATTCTTGAAAAGAAGCAATAGCAGATTTCACGTTAGCCTTACTGGAATTAAATATTGCCTTCTAAATATTTCAGTCGTATTTGATTACATTTAATTTTAATATTTTATTCTTTTATTTGCATTTTTACTGCTTGGTTTCTGGTTATTTTAGATAATTATCATTTTTGGTATTACATTTAAAAACTAATACACAAATACTGTATTATGTATATAATGCTATTCATTTCTGCCTCACCGGTCCTCAAAATTTCCTATTTTCCTATATTCACCAGTCCCCAGCTGTAAAAAAACTTGAAAACCACTGATCTAACCATACTTGTAAGGTTTCTCTATTGTTTATTGTAATCTGAGAGGTACTGTGATACATCCCCTGTTGCAGCAGACACTAAGTAAATATATTGGGCTAAGAGAATGGGCTGGTAATTTTAATGTGTGACTAATTCACCATTTAATTTCTTATTTATTTATTTATTTATTTATTTATTTATTTATTTATTTATTTATTAAAAGCTTTACTATCCTGTCCCCTACAAACATCTTGAGACGGCTTACAATAAATATATAGAATAAAACAAACCCCACAGCATCCGACCATTAATATACTAATTTTGTTTCTATTTGTTTTAGCTTTCCTCGTCCAGTCAAGAATACCTGGCTTAATAGAAATGCACCACCACAGAGCAAGGACTCGGTGATTCCTTCTCTGGAATGTGTTGTCTTTGGAAGCAGTTACAGCAAACAATTATCAGCTGATGTAAGATTGCCATCATTTTGTCTCTCTATTTTTTAATATGCTGGAAAGAAAAGTAATCCACTGTATTAGATCTACATGTAAAATATTTCTGTTGCATTTCAGTCACAGAAAATAATATAATCTGTCTTGAATCTGGAATATTAAAAGATTGCTTGAAATATTAGTTTCTTTTTGTGTGATGTGGCATGACAGATCACTCTGCAATGTTGTTGCTTTTGTTAACTATGTTGAGAACTTTCCAGTATGTTCAGTGAGGGTTACTACTAAGAAAGTGATATAGAATAAGACTTCAGCCCTTTGACCAAGGTGCCCTACATGCACATGAAAGGGTTAACAGTCTTTTTTCAGTCCACCAATAGTGTTGCTGAGGACTCATTTTTCAAGAGGGCTTTTCACAAAGCTTGAGGGGAAGCTGGCTGAAATGTGCAGAATATAATGTGTGTTGCTTTGGATTTTGCCTTTAATCTCTAAATGTAGCCTTGTAGTCATCATTGCCATTTTGATAACTGTACAAATTCATTTTTAGGGCTCCAGTTTTATAATAGCAGAGCCCTTCTTGAATCATGCTTACAATCTCCACTACACACTTTGTGCCAGTTTGCTGCTTGCGTTCAAAGGATTACACAGCTATTTCACTACTCTATCAAAAGAGCTGCCTTCTTGTCAGAAATTAGATGCAGGTATGTGAAATAAATCTCTTATTGCTTCTATGTTGACAGAATCTTTAGATTGCTGTATTTCTAAGTAATATTTTAATATGAATGCAAATATACTTAACATTGGCTTCAGACAGTATAAACACTTTTTCAGATATAATGAATTGTGCAGACTTTTTTCTCGCATCTCTTGAATTTGGGATTTGCCCTCCTTGTTATCCCTTAAAAAACACACAAAACAAACCACCTCCCAAACTCAGGGCAGAGTCCAAGAGCATGTTTATGCCCCACTGTTTCTCTCATGCACTTGCCCGTTCTGTGTGCAAGGAACCCCACTACTTCTGCTAAGGTACTGTTTTCTGGGGGACACAGTATGGGAGGGATCACTCACTTCTAGAAGGAGGTACATCAGCAGGCCTGTCTCCTTCCTGAAATTAGTGATACCTCTTATTTTGGGGCTGAAGTCTCCTTTACATAAGCAGGGGGTCCTGGTTATGCAGTGGAATTGGCAGGGCTCACTGCTTGTGGAAGGGAATCAGTGGGGACAGAAGCACCTCATTGGATTTTGTCCATAAAAATTATACAGTTATATATGTATATAATGTCTGTAATTTATATAAGAATAGTTACTTATAAAAACTAGTGCTAGCAACCTGTTTTAAGACCAGTAGGGTGAATCTTAAATTGAAGATCTACAAGGCAAGAAAGGCATATTTATTAGGGAAGGGGTGGCTATGATTTAATATAAAATACATATATTAATTTTAAAGGTTTGTACATTTTTGTCTCCTTGATTTTAAATTCAAATAAGCCAGCAAGAGTTCCCTGTGGACTGGCCTTTAAATCTACATGATATGCATGCAGGTTTTGTTTCTTAGCAAAACATCTTGTATAACTATCATTTTGAAAATAGTTTTGAGAGTTATTTTCAGGGGACTTAAAGTAATCTGAAGAGACCATCTCTCCAGGTAACCATTAACTAAAAGACACAACTATGTTCATACATATGCATTTCTCTCCCTCTTTGCTTTTAGTCCCCATTTGTCAGAATTCTCATATAGTCACTCCTATAGCCTGTTAGTGCTCTCTGGGTGGTGTACATTTCATTAAATCCAACAATAAAATAAATAGTTCATTTGTTTATAAACTATATAACTATTATAACTATTTATTGTTAATAAATAGTTTATTTATAAAATACTACAATACAACAATATGGACCGACTATAGAAGCTTAAAACATCAATTTAAAATTTCACAAAACATACATAACAATACAAATCAAGTATGGAAATACATGGAAAATAAAACCACCTTTGTCAGGCATTGAACCATTAGTAATGGAGATACTAGTTTGTTCAGTACATCAAAAGGGAAACTTGAATTGTGTCCTTCATATTTCAAGGGTGTATTAGTGATCCTTTTAGATTGCATCTAAATATTAAAAATTATGTAATATCCCAGTTACATTCCTAGTTCATCACTTCAAAATGATGGTAGTTTTATAGTGAAGCAGTATTCAGTATGGTATAGATCAAATATGTTTGGCCTTAAATAATAAAATCTTAGTCAACTAGGTAAAATCACCAAAGTAATGTAATATGTTATAAACATTTGAGATTGAATCCTTGATCTTGGAGAGCTTACAGATGTTTCCAAGCCTTAAAAGGTTTATTTATTTATTTAGAATATTTGTATGCCATCCTTTCGCAGAGCCTCAGGACAGCTTACATAAATAAGAATAGAATAAAACATAATACAAATAAAATCCAGATCCACCCTGAAGGTTGAAGATATACTGTAACAAAACAGAGTTATTTAACCTATACCTGTAAAAGCAAATCAAAATAAATACTGTTTAGAAATTAGGAGTAACAAAGAAGATCACATGATTTAATTATGTTCATCACAATATAAGATTTAGAGACATGCATAGGAATAGAAGGGTATTAGCAACCCATTTGGTTAAACTGTAGTAAATCTAGTCTGATAACCATGATCTATTAGCTTGGGAAGAGACGATATATTTATGCACTTCCTTCTCACAGCTTCTCTCAACCAGGATACTGATTCAGATCCTGATTTGGAGAAGCCTTTTAGCCATGGTTTCTCAGGTTTGTGTCATGGGCAAGTGTCGCTTGAAGAACCTAAAGTAGCATCATTGAAACTTTTCATAGATGCTCAAGGGAAGGGAGCATGAACTGTCTACTACTTCTAATTTAAATTAATATTTAACCACTTCTTACTTATGAAGATCCCAGAGTGCATAACCAACACTACAACACAAATTCTCCTGGATTGTTCATGTTTAACCTGTAATTCAACCATAGTGTAGGCTTTGCATGTAATGAGAAACCATGATTCTCACATAACACAACACATGGTTTAAGGAGCCCATGGGAGAGAGGGTATGTTGCCTTCTCTCATGTATACTGCTACTGCTTTTACTCAGCAGCCAATGTTTTGCTTGTTTGTAGACTATTGAGCATGATGTGCAAACACAGAGTGCTGGGTTTCCAAGGACTGGTTTACTCTAGGATTAATTACTAGGTTGTTTAGCTCTTAAAGAACCCATGCTGTGTGTTCATACGTCATACTCAACAGTCTGAATGAGCCAATTATAAGTAGTTGACTAAACACTCAAGGGCTCTCTCCTGCTCTTCCTGAACAGTTCGTAGTTTAACTCATGGGCTGTCATTCAATGGGAACAAATGACTTAGTTCTCATACAATGGTATACTAGGTTTCTGGAGAATCTTGGCTTACCAGGATCAAACTGTATGCTGGTACATGCAGTTCATTTGTGGTCACTTGGTTCTTTCTGTTAGTGTGAACAACTGAACTATTTGGAAAGAAATAATTTATAATATCTAGAGGAGTTTATGGCTTGTTTCTTTCAAACAAGGCAGGATTTTTAAGACAATCCTTATTTGTCAAGGTTGCAACAAGCTGGGAACCCAAGTTTGGATAACATGGCAATTCCTTGGCAATTACATTTAATTCCAGTTGAGTTTAGCTGGTCATGCTAGTGGGAAGAGCCAAGTATGCATGAAGTGGCTGCACATATAAGCACACATCTTGTTCATGGTAAGGCAGGATTTGTATTGTGTGTGAATGCAACCAATATGATATTTATTACTATTAACGTGTAGGTAGCTAGCCTAAACTAGAGCTCCATGGGAGTAGCAAAAGTCTACACTAGCACTCCCACACATGTGAAAGTGCAAGGACTTAGTATGCAAACTTGGAAATTATTTCCATATAGAATCTGTATGGGGTAAGGTACACTTACTGCATGTGATGCCCCATTGCTGAATGTTGTTTATTACCTTCTGCATGCTAAGATAATTTTTATGCATCTTGTGCAGGAGTAGTATTCATACAGAACCCTGTTTCTGCATGTGGACTAAGTTGACTACTCGTAAATCTAGAATGTCCATAATTTCCCTTGTGTTTTTTCCCAAGCCTTAAATGTTTTACTTTACCAAGACTATTTGTGAAATTAGCATTGCGTAGCTTTTATTTCTACTTAAAATATGCCAGTCATGCAGTTGTAAAGACACCCATCCAGCTTTATGAATTAATAAAAGTAAATGTTCTGAATATTTTACTTCGTATTAGCTACACTTGAGTAAAATGTGTTACAATAATAGGGAATGTCTAAAAATTGATCAAATTAATATTCTCTTAACCACTGTATGAGTGAAAAAAGCCCATATGTTAGCAGATTTCTAAACCTGTTTTGAAAAGGGTAATTCAGATTAGAAAAAAGTAGTTTGCAATAGATCATGTTTCTATTACTGGCATTTGCTGTATTCAATATTCTATTTGTGAATTTTTAAAGATTGTTCAGTAGATTAATTTGGCTTATATATATGACACAAGAGTTTAATGCATTGATATGTACTAATATTACTAATACATTCCTAAATAACCCTTTTTGTAAATATACTGAAAGCAATTCAGTCAGTGTTGCATGTAATGAAAGTCTGAAGGAAGTTGCTGGGACCTTCTTACCTGCAACTGTGTTCCCATTGTGCACTCACTGGAAAAAAAATAGTATTCTGAATTATTTGTACCATGATGATGCAATATGAAATTTGTTATAAGCTATCTAGAGTTTTTCTCTTGAAAAAATGTTTTCAAAATACTGAGATTCAAATGGGATTCTGGAAAGCAAACAGTCCTGAAATCCTATTTAAATTTCAAAAAAAGTTTGCTGTTATTTTCTTTTGACTTGCCATTTATTGTCTGTTTCCCTTTTTCCTTCTATATACATTTCTCTGATGTACATTTTTATTTCAAAAAGGGGTTTTAAAAACTGAATTATGTACAAATATATGCCTCACACCAATTGTATATGTGTGTGTATGTGTACTGAAATAATAGAAATCGTTAGCATTTGGGCAATCCTGATTTAGTAAACAAAAATACAAAACAGGTGATAAGAATCCAATAAATTCCATAATGTACATCATCAATAACTCCGTCTCTAGTACTTTACTAAATTCTGTAGTTAATTTTTCTTATCTAATTGCACTAATTACTAGGTGAGTGATAAAATTTTCTTACTAACTTTAAGGCTAATCATAAATAATAAAAACACAGATGGAAAAAGGAGTGTAGTAACTAGTCATGTGTACAATCCTTATAACTAGCCAAGTCCAGCATGCAGGTCCTTTATGAGCGCCTACTCAGAAGAAAATATCTACGAATCCAGGGAGACGCCTATCTAGGTACGTTTTTTTTTTTAAAGTAGGTTATATCTTTAACCCATTAGGCTTTATTATATTAAAACATCATAGCTTTTTATTGTTTGTAAAAATACCTTTTATATCATGGTTAAGCAGAAGCAAAAAAGCCTAAAGATGCCATTGAGCTCTAATATAAGAGGGTGTTTAACTTTTAATGAATACATTAAATTAAAGCCCTTAAGAGTTCTGTCTGACTAGGCAGTGGTGATGAAATGAGCTCATTTCATTGGCAGTTTGGCTTCTGTTTCTTCTCATGTTGTAAAATTGGAATTACTGCAAAGCATGATACAACAAATGCAAATTATTGCAAAGACATGGTCATGGGATAAAATAACATAGACTTAACTCTGAGCACTAATGTTCAATGGGGTGGAGTTCATGTGTGGAGTTCTGCTTACTGGATGCTCAACTGGAGGGAGTTGATGTTCATTACTTCTTCCTTCCCTTTTGAAAAGCTGTTCGTGAGGATTGGAAGACCTTCTAGAAGAGCATAATAGTGAGGGAGCTTTCCCTGGCCCCCTCCCTCACTTTTCTTTCAGGAGATTTCCATTGGACTAGAAACACTTCAAAGAACAGAAGGAGTCCTTCTATTCATACTAAGATTCAACCCTATATCTTGCCTCTGTTGGTAGTGGGAGCTAAGAATTGGAACCCCATTGTTCCTCTCCTCCAGTTCTTACATGGCTGTTGATAAGAACTCATGTGATATAATCTTCTTGAATGAACAGTAGCCCACCTGTAAATTCTAAACTTAACTATTAAGGTGAGGTGATGGCTGCTGGTGGTGACCTTAAATGACAGAAACACCTTTTTTCAAAAAGAGCAGAAGTATAACAACCTGGCTACTAAAATGGTGCATTTTAGATCATCAGTTCCTAGCTTGAGTGAAGGGTTTGTGGTACAGACCAATGGAGCCCCTGCCTGCATATCTTCCTGTTTTCCCCAGTCCTGTCCAACTCAAAGCACCAGTCATGCAAATTTAGTGTAAATTCTGGGCTGACCCTAGGTTGGAGCTGCCAGTTAGAATGGGAAAATAGAAGGTCCACTCTGTGCTGATGATTCATGCATTCTGAGGAAGGGGACAGAGGAGAGTTCTGCTGAGCTCTTTGTATACGAGTGCTCAAGCCAGAAAACATTGACCCCGTAGTACTATTAGAAAATCAAAGATTCTTCAACATCACTAGATAAATGTTGTGAATTTGAGGGTACATAATTTATTTTGTCAGGACAGGAATTGATCTTCCTCTTGTCCTCTTGGGCATTACATTTTTATTGCATAATTCTTTGATCTACATATTATATTAAACCCATAATAGGTTGATAATAGAGATACAGAAATGTTTTCAGAAATGAAAACGTTTTCAGAAATGTTGAAGTAACATGCAAATCAGAAATCCCCATATTTTTTTTCTTTTCAAAATGAAGCATTTGGGAATAATGGAAAAATGTAATACTATTTTTAATGCTCTGTATAGTTTTATATTCATGTACTTTAGGATGGTAAATGTATTCCTATAATTTGGTTGCTCAAATTAAAATTAAACATGTAAAGTAAACACAGTAAATCTGCTATTATTCTTTGAATTAGCTACATTTAATATACCAGATATAGCCATTTTATGAGCAAACCAATCTAATATGTTTTAGATTCCTCTCTTATGTCTGACCAGAAACTTCAGCGAGTAGTTCCTAAAATATCTGAATCATTCTAGAAGTCAAAAGAAGCAGGAAAAGCTGGAGGCAGAGAATTGATTATAGCATTTGTTCTTGTTTGTGAGGAATTTTTGAAATGAAGTTTAGGGAAATCTGGTCTGAAGGAAAAGTCACTGAAAGCTTATTTAGCTAACAAAGATTCTCTTAGCTATTAAGCATGATAACCAAACATATTTAAGAACCTTTATACAATCTCAACTTATTATTACAAAGCAACATTTTATTCCCTTTTATAAGTAATATACCTTATAATAATGCATATTGATTTTTGTTCATTTTGCAAGCTGTCTCTTATGGTGGTTACAGTCCCAGGCCTACACAATAAAAATCAAACTTTCTAAGTTTCTTTTAGGTATGGAGTATGTATTTTGATGGCAGTGGTTAAACACTGAGGCAGCATTTCCTAATGGTGAGGTCTAATTGAGTAGTTTATTTTTTTAAATGCAACAATTGAGTTCTTAAAAAAAAAAAAGTAACATTGGTGAGAATAAAACATATAATCCATCACATGTAGTGGCAGTGGCAAAATTATCTACAGTTTCTCTTGCATGCGAGTTTTACAGCTATATTGGCTGTAAATCATTTAATCAGAAGAACCCTGGAAATACAGGCCTCTATAGAACAAGATCCAAACTGTCAAGAATGAAATTTCCTTCAGATTGTGTACCAGTTCACACATAACTGCAGCAAATTGTGGGTTACTTAATTTTCTGGGATTATGTTCCATTGTCACCCCAACTGGAGGTTATTCTATGACATGCACAGTTATTCATGGGTTACGTGTGGGTGGCTATTGTTAGGTTTAGTGTTAGTTGTTTAATGAAATGTGGGAGAGCCAGTATGGTGGGTTGCTTGGAGTGTTGGACTAGGGACTTGGGTTAGCTGAGTTCTAGTGCTCACTTTGATGTGCAGTTTACTGGGTGACTTTGGGCTAGTTGCATACTCTCAGCCTAGCCTATTTCACAAAGTTGTTACGAAGATAAAGTGGAGCTATATAATCCACCTTGGGTTCCTCACAGTGCAATATAATAATAATAATGTCCATGGTCTCAGGATTTGCACCTCATGGAATAATTTCTAATTAGGCTGTTGAGAAATTATGTATTCGAAATAGCAGTAGTAAGCACAGGCATGTACCATCACAAATAGTGGATTAATTAACTCACATTTCTCAGTTTCTCAACCCTAACCCTCTATGATACAGTGATTTCAGTCACACATTGGGAAAGAGAACATGATTTGGAGTATCCCTAAGTGTTTATATCAATGAAATAAGTCTAAGAAGAGCAGGCGGAAAATGTTCAATGTTGCTTATCTTATGGAGAAAGTTTTAAAAATATTTTCCCCTGTGAGTTCAACATTTCCAGACATCTTACATCTCTAGTCCTCTATTAAGAGACATTGTATTGTATAGTTTTCAGAGAAATGGCCTGGTGGCTATATATTACTTTAAACATTTTGTTCACCATTCTAACAGAAAATATTCCATTATACAAAATTGTTCCATTATACAAAATTGTTCCAAAAAATGTTGCTTGGGGATGAACAATAAAAAACCTATTTCCTAATTTTATCTCTTCCCACCAGTTCTTCTCATCTCTAGTTGATAATCTTGTTTATATAACATCCCATTTCCCAAAATTCTCAGCTGAAAAATAGACTTGTTGCAAATTTGTTATAAATACTTAAAATCAGGCATTAATGCACAGCATAATTTTCTGGTGAAGCAGAGGAAAAATACTAGTATTCAGAGTACTGTTGAACTAGTGGGTTTTAGATATGCTTTCCTCAAATAGCATACATAGCTCTTTCCCTACTGAATGTCAAACTACTATTTTATTCATTTCGCCTTTATTTAGGCGATATTTAGATATTTAGATTCTGCCTTGCTGGTTCAAAAGTTGAACTACACAAAATGGCTTGAAAAACAGTAGCTTTTTAATAGACCAATCACTTTTGATATGGTATATATGGACAGTTCTTTAGAGGTACTTAAGTTGGATCCAAAGCTTCTCTTCTGACAGAAAATTATTCTCTGATGGAGGACCATTGGATACATGCAAAGTCTTGCTTAAACCTAAATATCTCTTTGTATTTTGGTCAGAATAATTGAATATGGCATTTAGGAGAAATGTAAAGTTGATGTTAATGTTCTTCTCTTCATGCTAGAATCTCACTTCAAGCTCCTATAATAGGAGCTTTCTCAGTACTCAGTAACTTTAAAAAGAAAAAGCATCAGGTTGGATCCACTGACAACTGCTCACCAACAGAATGGCATCTGTTAGTTGGAGGGATCCCCCACACACACACGCATAGTCTCCATGTACTCTTCCCTAGGGCAGCATTGGGGATGTCGTGGGGCCTGCAGCTGTCTGGGATCCCAGGGGAAAGGTTCACTGGGCAGGTGGATGGCTGATTAGCATTGGATCCTGCCCATTGCATGCTTGCTTTTAGGAATAACTTTCAATTTTTACTCAACTGTTAATGTTTTCAAATACAAAATTATTAGTATTCCAATCGTTGGAAAATTATTCAGCAGAAAATGTCTCAAGAATAGCTTATTTAGAAGTTTTGTTGCCTTCTTTTTTACCTTAATTTTTCTTTTGTGCAAATTTCTCGTATTTTCAGTTGTGAACCTTAGTAATCAAATTTGTGCCAAGGCTGCTTCCAAATTCTCTGTAGAGATAAATGCTTCTCATCCCATACTTCTATCCAGATAGTTTTAATTTATGGTTGTCTTTTGGGGAGATACACCATGTACACCAGCATATAAGACAACCCTTGAAACTAACAATAACAAAGCAAAAACTGGGGGTCGTCTTATATTCCAGGTGAAAAATTTTCCTTGGTTTGTCTTCATTCTTCCTCCAGCCTTGTACCATCTTCTCGGTTATGTTGAACCCTCTAGCTGTGTTACAGTTACCTCATTCACAGTTGAAATACCCTTTAGCTTAAAATGAGACCCAACACACTGGAGCACAGCCCACTCCAGGAGAGCTGGTTCCATGCCACATTGAGGGATTCACACGTGGCCATAGGTCCAGTCCCAAGTCTGGCTCCAACCCCACCCTTGCCACGGGGTGGCACACCATTCCAGGCTGGCCATGGTGGCAGCCAAGAAGAGAGATCCTCGTGTGGTTGTCTGCTTGTGCAGGCCTCCTCCCTGTCACCCAACCCTCCAAAGAAGTGATGTGGCTACTAGTTAGAATAACATGACATGAGAGTCTAGAAGTTTCTGACTATCAAATATCTGCTGAAGCCAGTTGACATTATTCGTGTAGGCAGTTAGTGCTCAAGAGTTAGGGTTCATCTTATATGCCCAACATAAGACAAACACCAGAAAACAGCCCAAAATACCAGCTTCATCTTATATGCAAGTTGTCTTATTCATAGGTATATACAGTGTTTAATTTCTAGGTTGAAAACTGGACAAATTGACACCACCTCAATGTATATTAGTGCTATATACTGAATCAAAAATGTGTTGCCTTTTCTACAAACACATTTTTACTTTCCAAGGAAATTTTAAATTGGGCAAAGGGAATTTTTTCCGGAAAGAATAAGGACTTTAAAAAGAAATATGTACCTGAGAACATTTGGCCAGATAAAAATATTTCTTTTGAAAATGAATCTTAAAATAAATTATAGTGCTAACTAATCTGCAAAGCTTCTTTTGCAGATTTAAATTATTAGAACATGTTACATTTCATATACAATGTAAAGGATTTGGAAATTCATCTTGTCTGTGTGTACCAGGTATGGGAAATATGCAACCTGCATGCAGATGCCCCTGGTCACTGCTGCATCATTGTAATTTGCAGCGCTGACAAAAAAGGAAGCTTGTTGCTGAACTGTTTTGGTAAACTGCTACAGAAGAGGGAAACAGACAAATGAGTATATATGCTGTCATTGAATTCAGTGGTGCAATGGCGGGAGTGTTCCTCATGAGCAAAGGATAAGAACTTGAAAGCGGCTCCTGGAATCCTGAAAGTTGTCCTCTCCCGATGTACACAGACACCTTGTAGGATTCTGATCCAGTGAAGGCTGCTGCTGGTAGAAAAGGAGGAATGGTTTTCACCAGTTTCTCTGCAGCACCACCATTTTCAAAAAGCTCCCCAACAGTTTGGAGCAGATTTTCAGGGTCCATGGATAAAAGGACAAGCAACAGAAATTACTTCTACCTTAATAGACTTCCACCAGCAGGAATGTCTTATGAATAGAATTTTGCTTATGAAGAACATAGGATCTAAGCCTGTATGTGGCAAAACTCATTCATTAGTCATCTTCTTATACTCCCCATTTCCCTGTTCCCAAATTTCATCATTTTTTAAATGTAGAGTCTTAGATTTAAATGTAAATCTTCTGAATTTTGTTTCTCCAGTGAGGGTTTACAGGATATTACTTTGTTTGTGGGTTCAATATGAAGATTATACCTGTCTGTGTTGTCCTGTGTTGGTTTTTGGCGGTTTTCTAAAATATATAATCAAGAGAAGTCTAAGGGGGAAAAGTTGTATTCTTGTACACTTGGTGAAAAATACAGATATTTTTCAAAACAATGTAGCAATAAACATAATAAAAATTAAAATTCAGAAAGAAAGCATTTTTAGCCTTTACTGAAATCTAGTTCATTTTAGATATTTAGTAGTTTTTATTTTGACTTCTGTATTTGAGAAATATCAAGAGAATCTAAATATTTTTGAAACTGAGCTGATGCTCTGAAATCTACCAAAAGTAGTTTTGAATTTAGCAATATTAATTTTATATACACTCTGATCTTTTCAGAGAACATAGATGTAGATGTAGAAGCACGCCTGTCAGAACTTTGTGAAGAAATAAAGGTATTTTTATCCTAATCCATATCAATCTTAAATTACTGCTTTCTTCCTACTTTCAGCTTGGTTCTTCCCACTGTCCTTCCCCTGAGAATTGCTGCTGTTTTACTAACTGACCTCTCTTTGGCAATAGTTATTGCCATTATTCAATGGATTTGTAGAGAATCTGGTAGAAACTACATACTTGCACTTCCAAGATCTTTACAAAGCGCTTGCTTCACCAAAGGTTTCTGAGCGGCAGTCACAGGGGATAAAAGTACGGGCCCTTGTATAGGCTGGATTTGCACATAATGCATATTGATGGTTAAACTACTCGTACGTGGAAAGTGAGACCTTCCGGGAGGCATTATGTTTGCTTGTGCTCAGTCCTGCAAGTGCATGGTTTGAGCAACCCTTGAGTTGCTGTTACCCTCAAATCAGACATATTAAGGTGAATTTGTGAAAAAGTAGGACCCAGATAAATGATTGCTTCCCACAGTGGAAGGATTTCATTGCAAAGTTCTCTATTGGGCCTAGTACTGTCTAATTTATTAATAAATTACTGTGAAAAGAGCAGTGAAAGAGCCAAGTTTGCAGATAACGCAGGATAGTGAAAAATTAAACAAATTGGCCTGGTTTACACAGTCAAAATAAGCCACAGTAGCTTATTTTAATCTGCAGTGTGTGCTGGCTTCTTTTTCCCTAATCATTGGCCAAGGCTTAATTTGCTGTGTCCTCTGAATCCTGATGGCATGGCTTGTTTGAGGGATAACCCCCCCCCCCCCGAATAACCTCTGGACTGTTGTAATGCTATTTAGAATGAGTACTAATCGTTCTGCAAAAAGCTCTAAAAACCCTCAAAATTCCAGGTTTGCTAAAACAAATTGTCAAATCAGAGTTAACCTAAGCAAGTGAAACTGATGCACATTGGGGAAGAACTCCTAGCTGCTTAAATTTGTAGAAGAGATCTGAGCTTGCAATAACTGTCCAGAAGGATCACGAGGTTCATGATTGCTTGATGAAGATACCAACTTGCCAGGAGTGAGAAAAGGCAAGTCCTTTCCCTGGTACTGAACACCGGAATGAAACTAAAGGGCCAGAAAATATAAAGTTTATATAATTCTATATGGTGACCTTATTTGGAATACTGTATACTTCTGGTCACTTCATCTCAAATAGGATATTTGGAGAACTACAAAAGGTAAAGAAAGTGCAACCAGAATGATCAAGAGACTGGAACATTTTCCGTACGCGGAAACATTGAGGTGTTTGGCCTTTTTACTTTAGAAAAAAGATGACAGTTAAGTGAGTGTTGTCAGGTTAATTCCTGCTAATGGAGGATCTTCCATAAGTGGAAGGGTAGGGTTGAGCATCCTCTTGTACCCTTGTGGAACAGCTCAAGTGGATGGTTGGCTGCAGAGTGGACAAGAGGAGGGGATAGTCCTGTTATACAAGCAGTTTTCAGCGCATACGTTGCTGGATTTAGCCTATGTGTGGGAAAGGACAGAAAACTAAATAGAGAAAGATGAGTTGTATCTCTTTCTCTTCCAGTGAAACTGCGTGACAGATTCAAGACAACCAAAAGGAAGTACTTCCACACACTGCTACAAAATGGTGGTGATCACCATGGGTGGAATCCAATTAGATCATCCACCTCTTCCCTGCATCCTCCCCATGCACCCTCAAAAATTTTTCTGGAAGGTTAGGAGACTCTGCGGAACAGGTTTTCTGAGGGCATAGGGGTTGTGGGGAGAGGAGAGATTGAACTGGAGGTCCATTTTATGTGATTTTGGATTCTGTCCTATAAGCTTGGATTGCTTTAAAAGGAAAATGGATAAATCCAAAGAGAATAGGTCTGTGACAGTTTATAGCCAAATGGAATCTTTTGGTTCAGAGACAATACGTATCTGAATCCTTGTTGCTTGTAGGCAAATAATAGAAAGGAGTAAATATTTTCTTTCTTGTGGTCTCTGTGCATCATATATATGGGCTCCGTTCTTCTGTGGGGCCTGTTATCAGGAAGATTTCCTTGCTAAGAGCATTTTGGCCAGAACCCCTCCCTCACTCTGGCTTCCACTACAATTGGGGAGGAGTTCCTGCCCACATCCTCAGTTCAACAGTCTCCACCGGTACCTTGGGAAGTTTATCCTATCTGGCTGTCCAGATTTGGGATTGGAGCATCAAGTGGAGTATAACTTTGATGGCCATCCCCATTGGTGGATCCAGCAACACTGTAGCTGACATGCTGAGCAGGAGGACTCTTGATGCTCATGAGGGGCAGCTGAACTTGACCACCCACACCTGGGGAACACCCTACATAGTTGCTTACCAGTCAGAACAATGCTGTGTGCAGCAGCTTCTGCTCTTGGGCAGGGTGGCCAGGGGCTCTCTGGGAGATGTATTCCTCTTGAGATGGATAGGGATTGATTTCACTTTTTTCCTCCCTTCCCTCTGATAAGAAGAGTGCTGGTGAAGGAATATTGGGATGCTACGTATACATCCTTATAACGCCATGATTACCAAGATGACTGTAGTTTACTTGCCTATTAAAGATGTCAGCTCAGACCTACCATCAAACCTGAACCTAATGTCTTGGGTTCATGGCAGGGTTCTCCATTCAGATATCAGGACTCTGTGCCTAGCAGCATGGAGAATCCAAACCTTGAGGATCCAGTTCTCCCATCCTGAATAAACTTCTTTATTTTAGATACAGCTCTAAAACTCTCCACAAGAAATTCTTATGCATTGTAATGAAAAAGCCCTCACCGCCTTTGCATCTGTGGATAATTTTGATCCTCACCACTGCACAGTAGAACAAGTTCTCTTATCTTCTCTTCCAAAGACAGCATAAAATGTCTCCCATTCAAATCTATTTGGCAGCAGTTTCTTCCTTTCATGACCCCATCCAGGGTTCATCAGTTCTCTCTCTCACACTGGTGAAACATTTCCTGCAAGGACTGAAAACATCACTCCACTTGTATGATTCTTTACACTGGACTAGAGCCTTTCTGTGGTTCTACAGACATCAACAAGAAAACCTTTCAAACCATTGATGACTGTAGATCTCCATATTCTGTCATGGAAAGTAGCTGACCTGTGCAGAGCAGTTACGTGGTCAATCCCTTCAACCTTCATTAGGCAGTACAGGCCAACGTCCACACCAGATCTGACTGTGACTTTGGGAGAGCATTCCTCTTGTCTGTTCTATGCTACTGATACCTCCATGCTGTCCAGATTCATGTAAGCTCACATCGCCCATATGTGATGCACAGATACCATGAAGAAGAAGGTCAGGTTGCTTACTTGTAACTGTCGTTCTTTGAGCGGTTATCTGTGCATTCACACAACCCACCACTGACCCTGCTTGCTGTCATGTTGCTGTTCATCTTGCTCTTAGTTTTTTCTTTCTGTTTTACTTTTCCTTTCGAATGAAGTCATCAGGATTGAAGTTGGTCCTGATAGTCCTCCCTCACTCTGAAGCCACCTTGGTGGTCTTGTATGATCTGAGGAAGTGGGTGGGAATTCCTTGCCTCTTGCATTGGAAGCTGAAGTGGGGAAGCATTCCTGCCAAATCACCCTTAGCTAATAAACCTTCCATACAACAGGCTCCACCCAGGCACAGAGCCCATATGTGTGAATGCACAGATGACCACTCAAAGAATGGCGGTTATAATTAAGCAAACTGACTTTCCCCTTCTAGGCTTCCTGGAAACAGGTTCCCAAATCAAATGGCCCCTCATTCTCATTCACAGGATAGTTCTTAAAGTCAATCTTTCAAAAGCATTTGAAATTCTACAAAATTTGACTAGAGTGCTATTTAAGATTAAAGTTAATCATCAGTTATAAAAATGGTCATTAGTATCAGTTGTCAAAAGGTATAGATACCTGACTAAAAACATTTTTACTTTTTTTTAAACTTAAATTTGTCCACTTTGAAAGAGTTTGTGAATGGATTTCTCAGTGTACTATACATCCTATTTCTAGAAATCGAGATGTGTTTGTTTTCTCTGTTGGTGCAGAAAATGGAGAATCCTGATGAACTGGCAGAACTCATAAACATGAATCTTGCACAGCTTTGTTCACTTCTGATGGCTTTATGGGGGCAATTTCTGGAGGCTGTTAACTTTCAAGAAGACGTCACTGCGTTGCTAGCACAAGAACATCATACAATGCGTGTATGTATTCATCCTTTCCTGATAAAACTTTTAAGAACAGAAGTGTGCCATCATAGTTCTACAGTAAAGTTATATTCTTAATGAGGTGTTAAATTGAATTCTTACAACTAAATCAGTTCACAAATCTACCTTGTAAAGGCTGATCTAAAAAGTATGAAACCTATGTTTTAATGCTGTATCAGTTTATTTAAAAGTATAGCCCTAGTTTCTGAGGTAGCTTACAATAAAAATTTAAAATATACACAAGAAATAAAAAAAGAAGCAACAAAAACAAAAGTATGGTAGCAAAGTATAACAAACACAAATTTATTGTAACAACATTTATGGTATTTAGCAGTATCAACAGCATTTCTGTTTAGAAGCCTAAATACTTCTTCAGCCTAAAAGTCTGGATAAACTTTTGAACTGAAGCCTAGCTTAAACTACAGGTAAACCAGATTTGATTTCTGATTTGGCTGTTAACTCAGCTGTCCTGGTGGATGTTTTGCTGTCACTCAACATGAATCCCAGTGGCAACTGAGTCATCTAATTTAACTCAATAATCACAGTAATGTCAATGTCATACAGAAGCTACAGAAGATTAGATACTACGCCTGGTTAACCTGGATTGCTGCAATAACAAACAGGCTAGAAGGGAAATGAACTGGACTGAAGTAATGAGGTAACCAGGAGAGCTAGAAGTTTCATGCAGATACGTGCATAAAGTCTCCTGTGCATGCATGCAAAATGACAAACTAGATTTTTATTTTGCACCTTTTTTTAACCGCACCACTAACTCATAGGAAATGAAGATCATTGAGGGTCACACAATCAATTGTGTGCTTAATCAATTTTTTTCTGAGCTCAATCCACATTAGAGAAAGGTAAAAGCTAAGCATGTTGATGGGGTGGGGGAAAATGTTGCGATCTGCTGCCTAAATGCATGGTCAGCACCTGCAGGCAGCCCTGGCTAAGCCCTGCCTAGCCTTTCCCTCTGGAAGGCAGCATGGAACATGCTGTTCTGCTACCTAATGGTATGCTTAGAGAGTGGTAGGCAACACTTTGTTCCGCTGCCTGGCCTTTCCAAAGAGAGAGACTGGAAATGGAATTGGAGCGTGCTGCTCTAACTTGTAGTCAGCTAGCATGAGCTGTGGCTCAGTTTAAAGTGAACAGGTTTTCTACCAATGATCACTGTTTTGCATTTATGTCATCTGTCTGTCTGTCTGTCTGATATCTTCCCACAGATAAGAAGTTGCAGGTTTGTGCTTACTTAGTGCAGTGAACTCCTGATCCTTGAATAACAATCTGTCCCCTCAGAACTAAGATGGCTTATTTGGTGATGTTCTGAGAGACTGTCAATCCACACTTTGAGCAGTAATGTAGGAGCAACTTTCATATGGATGCCTATTATGCCATTTTGAGCATGGAGGAATTGCATAGACAAGGCTATTGGTGTAATGTCTTCAGATATCATTCTTGTAATCCATCTTGGGAGGGCAGTATCAGTGTAGTCCTGCCATTGTGGTTTCTTTGCTAGAATATCATGTAAGGAAACTACAGGGAAATGTCTCCTACATTGTTGCCAGTAAGCATAACTCAGTACAAAGTTAGCTAAGTACCAAGGTAAGGCCAGCACTGTAAAATGGTTTCACTGACTGATGGCAGTTCTAGTGCCTATGTGGAGAAAGGGGTCTCTGGACAGAGGGCGTCATTTTAAGGAGGCAAGAAATAATCCCTTGGAAAGTGTGTCTTTAGGGTGATAAAATTATGCTCCTTTTGTGTGTGTGTGACTCACTGAGAACATAGATAAATGATTTCATGATGGCCATGTTAACAGTAAGGTTACTTGACTGTGCTGAGGGAAAGATTGCAGACGTAGTAAAACCTCTAAATAAACTCAGAATGTGCTGAGGAGAAGTGAGCAAACATTGTATACACAGCTACTAGTGGCATTGGGAAATGTCAAAAGTATATGGAGATCAAATTCAGATTCTTAGTTTCTAAAGTAAAAACAAAACAAAACTGGAAAGATATGCAAATGTGATGGCTAAGAAGTAAAAGGAGGAAAAATTTAAGCATGGGAAGTAAATGGAGAGGAAATTTGTGCACCTTGAGGAACTGCTTTGAAAAGCAGAGGCAAAGTACCTTTAATTATTTCATTTGTATCCCACCTTTCTTCCATTGTGGAAAGCAAGGAAGTTAAAAGTGGTTCTCCAGATGCTTTGCCTCCACACACTGACCTGACTGACTAATAAAGTTATTATGGAATAAGATTTCATGGATCAGACTTACCAATCAGTAGGGTGTGTGATCTTTGAGCAGTGACAGCAGTGACCATTATTAATGTTGCCTTTATATATATATTTATATTTATATCTAGAAAAAGGAGCGATCATCCAAAATATTTTGCCACCACCTTGCAGTATAATGTTCCTTCATGAATTGACCAAAATGGGGTGGGGGGGCTGAGTTTTTGTTAAAAGATTTCCTAAAAGACCCTAGTTCCCTTTAGATCACTATTGGCAGTGTATGTCTATTCTTATAAAATTATTATTAAACATATGTCATTACTTATTAGTATGACATTGTAATACAGTTTTGCTGTTAGGTGTCTTTTAGAGAAGAAAAACATCCTTCGATGTTAACTTTTTAAATGATCTTAAAACATTTCAGGTCCGTAGATTTTCTGAAGCATTTTTTTGTCTTGAACATCCAAGAGAAGCAGTCCTTGCATATCAAGAACTACAGTAAGTAGCTTTAAAAAAAGATACAAAGCCATAATTCATTAACCTTCCTGACTTACTGTAAATTTAATAAAGTTTCTGTGTGTATGCATGTGCATGTGCACACAGGTATGCATGCATATGTTGGGCAGTGTACACTTCAGTTACTCCATTCAGACAAAGTGCTTTGATCAAGTGGAGACTTCTGTGAACCAAAGAGGGAGGAGGACTATTTTGCCCATTCCACCTTTCTTTTACAGGTCCCTGTACCCGCCAAAATTTATTTTTGAGCTTTGGATGACTCTCCAGATCAGTATGGGAGACAGCATGCAGGGCTGCAAGAGATGGTAGAATTGGTAAAAGTCATTTTCCTCTCCCTTCCTTTCAAAGAAGCCTCCACTAAGATCAGATTGTGAATAAAAGGGCAGCATTGGATGCAACCTGATGTGCCCATGCTATATGCTAGGAATTCTGAAACAGTTCCATAATGAAAAGCTCTAAGCAAATAATTTTTCCAGGGTCTTCCTGGGTAACAAATACGTTTCACATAGCAATATGTGTAGCCTGTTGATAATCCTATAAAAACAAAACAACAGGGATTTGGGTACATGAGACCACTGTGTCATTTAAAAATCTGTAAGGGAGACTTCAGGAAATCATATATCACTTTGGTGAAATAGATAATATTCTAGCATGGATAAATAAGAAATTGGGATGTTCAGCACTGTAGTGTTAGCACTCTGTCTCTTACTAATTTGAATGGAGTTGAACAGATGCACTGGGCTCCTCCTGTAACTGACTACCACCACAGCAAGGTCTGTGATCAACTGTGGGTTCATTACATGATGATAATTGATAACTGGAATCCATCCTTCTCCAAATATGGCTGTGAGATGTCTTTCATGGTCAGATGAATTGCATATATCCATAGATGGAACTTAAAGGGGCAGCTTCCATTTATATCACTGAACAGCCAAGAAGATTATACTTATTCAACCTCTAGCGCCAAAATGAGGAAAGTGTTTACAAAGACACTGAGAAGCATGATTCTTCAGATATTGGACAGTTGCATTGGTCAGGAAAAGAACATTTTCACATTGACTAGCATCTTTCTGCTACCTCCTAACCTCCTGTATATTCATCTCTCTGCAGTTACACATTACCTGCTGTACGTGTGTGTCAGTTACACTGTTCTAAACGGTTGTTATTTCTTATAGTGATGCATACTGGTTTTGTTTAGTTGATTTAACTTAGCTATACTGAACATAATTTTCATAATTAATGTAACAGACTTGCAGAATATTGCCTATGACTACAATTAAGTGTTGTTACTTTTTAACGATTGTTTTAACATAAAATGGTATCTTTCAGTGCCCAGAGTTACCTTCAGATGTGTACAGCAATAAAAAGCACCTCCTTCTGTAGTTCTCTTCCACCTCTCCCAATTGAATGCAGTGAATTAGATGGAGATCTGAACTCCTTACCAATCATCTTTGAAGATCGGTATCTAGATTCTGTCACTGAAGGTAAATCAAAGCTTGCTGTATTTTGTCTTAGGGGAATGAAATAAAAGTTTCTATCTTGAAGTGTTCATATGAGGATAAGGCAAGGCTTGAAGAGCTTCCATGTTAAAACTAGCTGTGAACAGAATCTAAAGATGAATTGAACCTTTCATAAGAACATAAAAGAACTATGGTGGATCAGACCAGTGATTCATCTAGTCCAGTCCAGTCCTCCATTCACACAATGGCAAAACAGCTGTACCCAGGATTCTTCAAGCAGGATGGCTACAAAACCTCTGCCTACCTAAACTCCTCAGGATCTAGTGTATGTAGGCATGCTGCCTTCAGTAAAGCAGGTAGCACATAGCAAGCAGTGGTAGTAGCCACTGATAGTCTTTTCCTCCATGAATTTGTCCAGTCCCCTTTTTAAGCCTCCCAAATTGGTGATCATTACAATCACCTCCTGCATACAAGTCCTTGTGCTACATTGAAGGCTTCTCCTAATATTTGGGAGTAGCTTGTGGTACTGCAGCTTAGAGGCCTCTAAACCTGCTGTGCTGTGATACATGCTGCTTTAGACCTCAGACTCTCCAAATACTAATTAAAATATTTTATATATATATATATATATCCAAATACTAATTAAAATATAAAATCTTCCTTATTTCTTAGATGCAGAAAACCTGTGGCATGGCCACAGCTCAGTAGTAAAGCATGTACTTTGAATGCAAAAGGTCCTAGCTTCAGTTATTTGCATCCCCAGGCAGAGCTGAGAAAGCCCCCTGTCTGAAAACCTGGATAGTTGGCGATAGTCATTGTAGATAGCAGGGTGCTAAATGGAGCAAATTTTTGACCTGGTAGAGTACACTTTCATCTGTTCTTAGAAATTAATTAATTAATGGAATACATATGTCTTGGTTTCATATTTAACATAATTTCAATAATACATATCTCTGTGTCCAAAAAGTATTAGTACTAATCAATTATGCTATCTTCTTTCTTTTTTCTTCTTTTTTCTTTTAAATTAAAGAGATGGATGTACCCTGGTTGACAGCTCATCAGAAGTCTGATTCCAAAAAAACAGATAAACTAGATACTGAAGAAAATTTTATGGCTGGCTTTTCTAGCCCAGAGTTGAAAAGTAAACCTTTAGTTTCCTCCCATACTTGGCAATCAGAAAGTGAAAAGCAGTTTACAAAATCTGCAAAGGGGAGATGTGAAGATGCAAATAAATCCAAAGTTAAAGTTACCAAATTGATGAAAACAATGAAACCTGAACATCCCAAAAAAATTGTAAAACAAAATTCTAAGGACTCTGTCATCTTAGTAGGCTACAAATGCTTGAAAACTGCAGCTCCAGAGGACATTTCTAAGTGCTTTGAAGGCATGCCTTCATATAACCAGAAAGAAGGGCTGGATTCTACAGTTGGTGGGCATACTTTCATACGACAACTTAGTCAAAAAGAATTTAGAAGTTTACCATCTAGAACTGAGCAAAAAACTACCAAACTGGAAGGGGGTGAGGAAAGACAATGTAGCCCTGTCATCTCACAGTGTGCCAATTCAGTCATTTTTGGTAAATCTGATACCGCGCAAGCAGACATGGGGGGTTCTCAATGGGATAGCTGTTTGACACCCAGAAGTACTGTTGAAGAATGTACTGGTCCATCAGGAGTTACAAAAATAGAAGTAAAACCATATAGTAAGAATGTTTACGGGGGAGAGAAAGTATTTGTTCGCATTGGATCACGGACAGACTTCTTACAATGGGGAACATGCGGAGAGAACTTAAAGGAAGTCACTGTTGAAAGATCAGAATCTGAAAAGAGACCTAAAACAGAAAAAGAGGAACTACTGCTTCAAAAGGAAGTTGGGCAAGAAGCAGATATCCGACATGCTGAGGATTCATCTGCAAAGGTCACAGCTGATCAGTCCGCTCTTTCATCAAAAGAAGCTCCTCCTGTCGTAAGTGGAGATGTTCTTAAGCTACCTGATGTTAGCCTGACCTATGCATCTTCCCGGTTTTCAGATTCTGGTGTAGAAAGTGAACCAAGTTCTTTTGCAATGCACCCAAGTGCAGATGTGGGTTCTGAAACACCCCAAAATACATGCAACAGTGAAAGAATCCTTCCTCAGATTTTCTTAAAACCTGATTGTATTATTAAAAATCCAGTAGAAAGTCACTATACTGAGAGTACAAGTGCTGTTAGTGAAATACAGTCCTCTCTGACATCGATAAATTCTCTCCCTTCTGACGATGATCTCTCCCCTGATGAAAACTCAAAGATATCTCTTGTGCCTGAATGCCAGTTGAGTGACAGCAAAACTATATTAGACCTGGGAGCAATTGACTTGACAAAATGTGATGATAGCGAAGAAACGGAGGTTCTGCCATACCAATGTGTAGCATTTTCAGAACAGTCAGAAAATGAAACTGCATTTCTGCCTTCTTTGCCCTCATCTATACCAGGTCCTTTGCATTCAGATGAAGATACATCCACAGATATGAATCCCTACAATCCACAACTAAATACTGATGCAGTTTGTAAAGATATTGAGCTACTGGAGAGAGACTTGCATACAATAGAAAAAGCAACTGAAATTCCTTCAGGAGTTGTTTATTTAGGGGAGTCATGCATTGTTTCAGGTTCGATATCTACTTATGCTGAAGGTGCTGTGAAGAAACCAAGTGAAGGACATTTTAATGAATCTTTAGAGCAAAAACCAATGACGGATAAATTGTCAACTACAAAAAATGAAAACCTCACAAGTGTGACTATCCTGTCATCAGAAGGAAGTACTGATATGTTGAAACAAGGACTTGTAGAAAACTATTTTGGCTATCAAAGCTGTACAGATATTTCCAATATATATTCTGACAATAGCAGTACTGTAAGTCCCCAGAGGGGAACAGTTTGTTCTGTTTCACTGGAGGAGGAGGAGGAGGAGGAGGAGGAGGAGCAAGATCAAGACATGGTTGAAAATGGTTACTTTGAGGAAGCAGATGATAGTAATTTATATGGTGCCACAAATGATTCAGATGAGAGCTTGCCATTAGTAAATCAGGCAGCTATAAGAACGGAAAGGATTACTAGTGAATTTTTTGGAAATGAGATAGATAGGACTCCACTGTGTAGTACAGATAGTTTGGTTTTCTCCTCTGCATTAAAAGGCTATCCATATGGTGGGTTATGGTCTTCAAAGGACAAATCTAATACAGTTCTCAAGCAGCCTTGCAGTACATCCTACAATACAGCTTCATCTCTCCCCTGGTATGAATACTCCCCCAAACCTCAAATGCTGATGTAAGTGGCATGATTTTAAACAATTGCTTTTACTGCCCAGTTTAGAGAGGATTTCTTTATGTTTCTTAGTTTTTATTTGATTTACATTTGTTATGACTTCCTTTGCTTTGCTAGATTGGAATTTCAGGATATTTCATCAGTAAGATATGTAAACATTAGATTTTACTATACTACATTTGATATTAGCCATATGTGGAGGTAATTTACACTGGAGTTTATCCATCTAGTAGGAACAGCAGCGTGCCATTTGCATGGCTTGAGCATGCTCAAGCATGTTTGTAGAATCACATTCTCTCCAGCTTACCAAACAGCTGTTTAGTGGGCTGAGCAGTTTCAGTTGTGCTGGGCAAAAACACCAAGCAGAATTGCTTGGAATAGGCAGCAGTAGTACAGGATGCAAGAAAACTCTTGCCCACCACTTGAGGGGGCTGAGCAGTTAAGAGGGCATGCTTCTGGAGAGCACCAGGTTGAGGAAAGCTGGCCTCAGCATTTCCTTACACCAGGTTTTCTCACACTATGTTTTCAAAAGAATTTGAGTAGTTGAATTCTTATATTTCAAAATGACCATGAAATAGTTGTCTACCCCGCTTTAGAGCAAGTTTATTACGAGTTTATTTTAGTAATATCAAAGGTACTGCCTTCAGCTTCTCATTACATATATTGAAAGATGTGAATACCAGTTACTAGATGACTTTAGGGTTTTGTCCTTTCATTCTTAATTCAGCTATGAACTGTGCTGGGATGTGAAGAGGCATGGATAATGTATGGGAAACCTATTCTGACATAGCACATTTGGTTGATAGCTTGATTATATACATTGGTGCTGAGACATGTTGAGAACCTTATGGCAGGATAGAAGTAAGGTCTAAAAATCTTGGTTTAAGTGTTCACTATGTGCATAGAAAAGTTGGTAGCTGCTGCTCTTGATCTTGACTGTAGTTTAGTTGATCAGTAAGCAAGGCTTCCTTCTTGAAGTTGAAGTAACTTATTAAAGGGTCAGTTCCATGGGCTGTTCTGCAAATGAAATAGCTGTCACTATATAGCATAACATCCATACAACATTGTCAGATAATGTTGCAAAACAACCTGGATAGCTGTGCAAATGTAGCAGAAAAGGCTTTCAATCTTTTACTGATAATTATAATTGTGGCTAAATATGGCAGATTAGTATTGCGCAGTGCTGCTGTCTGTGGTAGAAATGGACATTGGAAGGCACTAACCAAGATTGTAGGTAGGATGTGGAGTACAGTGGTACCTTGACTCACAAACTTAATCCATTCCACAGCTCTGGTCATGACCCAAATTGGTCATGACCCAAGTCAAATTTCCCCATAAGGTTCAATGTAAATTAATTCATTCTGTCACCATTTTTTTATCACAAAAATTTGAAACAAAGTGAAGAACAACAGAGATCACAGCCATCTCCCCCCTGAGCATGACCGCGATTGTGGCCATAGACGGGCACAATCACTGGCGTGCTCGGGGGGGAGATGGGCATGATTGCGGGAGTGCTCTCAGGGAGGGGGAGATGGGCGCATCACCCGATGTGGAGTTTGTGACCTGAGGCAATTTTTTTCTGGAATTTCTGTTCGCAACCCGATTGGGTCATGAACTGAGGCGTTCGTGAGCTGAGGTACCACTGTAGCTCTTTGTCAGCTGTATAGAGGCATTTTTGCTACTGCCTCCTGCCCCCTGATCATCTGTCAGTGCAACAGTAGATAAAAGCAATACAATAAAATACCATAAAATCTTATCAAATGAAACATGAAACAGTTAAAAACCAGCTAAAAACATACAGTGAAGAATGACCCTGTAAATGAAAAATGCCTGCATTGATCTGTGGTTTTAAATATAGATTAACTGAAAGTTAAGCAAATCTAATTTGCTTGTTTCCTTCACCTGGACCATTTATCAGAGTGAGTAAAATAAAATGTGTTTATTTTAGGTTTCTTCAGGCTAAAGAGGAACTGAAGCAACTTCAGCTCCCTGGATTTATGTATAGTGATGTTCACAGACTGGCATCTTCAGTACCCTATTTCAGCACAGAAGAGGAGGAAAGTACAGAAGAGGGAGTGCATCTCATAGTCTGTGTGCATGGCCTAGATGGTATGCTGTGGAAGCAAATCATTGATAAATTCAAGTATTGGGTTAGATGTGAGAATTTCCACTAAACTATATTGGGAGTGAAACAAATTTATTAAGGCCCTCAGTTGCTGCTTTTATTTATTTTTAGACCATTTTAAACTTTTGCTAATTAGGAAATTCTTTACATCTGATATAATACTTAGCTTAAATTAATAGGAGGGGTCTTCA